TTGTGTTTCTAGCCCTTTTCTTGCTGTTTTTAGGAAAAAAATCGAAAAAATGTCTTTATCAGAAAATGGTGAGCTATGAAAGATCAAGGATTCGGAAAAGCGATCCATGCATAAAGACAAGTGCTGTGAATTTATTTTGTGCCTCCAACCTGGGTCAACCTTACGTTGGGACAAGTACCTAGGGGGGGGTCTTAGTATGCATGGAGTTTGTTGGTTTGGGCGGCAGTACGTAACTTGTTTCACGGTAGCACGGAGATTACATTCAGGTGAAAATCGCGTTCAGAAGGAAGACGGAGTCGCAGAGGTACGACCCCCCCCCCCCCGAAAATCGAGATCCTGGCACGACCCCCTCTAACAGAGCAAATTAATTCAATTAAAATAAATCCTGCAAAACAAATCAAAAAAAAAAATTCTGCAAAATAATGCTAAGGACGCTTCATCTTGTCATCTATGCACGTCTTCCATCGCTGCATACTTTTGTGTACATACTGAAATATCGACTCGAGGAAAGAGGCATTAACTTTGTGTGACCTCAAGGCGAGGTTCGTTCAGAAACGCACAGAAATCCTGAAGACACGGGGTTGCGATTCAATCTTGATTCTTGCTTGAGTATATCAAAACAGCCGAGTGTATCAAAGGCCGATTCAACGGCAGCTGCGGCGCGATTGTCACTGGGTCAGATTTGCCGAAATTTCAAAAAAAACGTCCGAATCTACACCCTCGATGAAAAGGTTGCATTCCTCCATTTCACAACCTTTGAAGCAGCTTGAGGTAGAGTTAGATAGAGCTGGATTTCGCGTTTCCAACAAGCATCGAAATTGCTCTGGAAGCCTTCCTTGCAGAAAGATAGGGTCTGTCAAATTTCGTCGAGTAAATGTCGAGGAGGCCCAAATTTTCACGCGAGTTTTTGCCACTTCAAGAGCAATATATCTCTTATATTGTAAGATCCTGAAAAAGGGAAGATAGTTTTGGAAAGCGGAAGGTTTGCGCTTCCTGATGGTCTGTTTAGTTTTCTTCTACAGCTTTTTGGTTGAAGAGATAATTGCGTCGAGGATCTATCGAGGTCGGATCCGGCCACCTGGAAATCCGCTCCCTCATTCACCATTGCAAGTGTGACTCGTTGGCAACACTCGGAATGTGTCTAGAACAATATCTTTGAACGCAAACAATAAGAATAGGAGCAATCGTCATCATCCGATTTGGTATTGGTATAAGCCATGCATCCCTCCTCCACTCACAGTTGCAGAATCGATTGAAAGGTGTTATATGATGGGGACCTTCGAACGAAACTGTATTGTAGTAGACATAGTGTGTTGTGCTATTCCTGTAACCTAAAAAACAACTTCATTTGCCCAGCGCTTTTTCTTCACGGTTGTCGTTTTTCCGACAGGGTCCCTAACAACAGCGTCATTCTCAGCGAGGTATTAAGGGAGAAGGAGCGAGTGATAGGCGGAGGAGGTGCCTTTGCAGCGCGTGCGCACATGTGGCACTCTTCTTTGCGGGGATGCACTTTCATTCTTTGTACTGCCTTCAAATACGCCCTTCTCATGAAGGTGGAGGAAGCGACTGAACCTGCAAAGAAAATTTAATATCATGTTTTTTTTGGATGTTTTCATTTTCTGCTGCGCTATACCCTATTACCTATCTGCACCATGATACCACTTCTGTTACTGACCCCAAGAGTACGACCCCCCATGGACCAGCCCAACAGGTACGACCCCCCTGTCGAGGATTTCCTCGACCGATATTCACCCTGCTTACAAGGTAATGAGGTGAAAGCGCGCGGGAGAAAATTTGCCGTTTCACCGTGCGTTTATATACACCCCCCACTCGACGTTGTTTTTGAGGGAAAAAGAAGTGAAGAAAGGGTCGTATGAAATTCTCTCATGAAGCAGGGGAGTCGTAAAAATTTTTTTAAAACAGTAAAGAAAAGCTAGCGTACGTGGAAGTCACTTTATGCAACTCCATCTTCAAGTTGATGAAAAATGCTTCCAGAGGAATTTGTCAGGACAAATCCTGGCGTTCTCCTTAAAATCGAGGAATTTCATCTTTCTCTGAAGATCCGAAAGATATTCCTTCTGAAGAGATCCTTTATCTAGCGAAAGCAATTAAAAAAACATGTGGGTTTCTGTCGGCCGCGGCTTTAGATGTTTTCTTCTGATTACCGCCTTTCACTTTTTCTGACGCGTCATTGGGTAGATAGAGGTGTTCATCCCTAAAACTAGGAGATGCTACGTTTGTGATACTGGTACAGTACATTGTAATGTAAAATAAGAATACACCGAAGTTGCATGAGCTTGTAGGTCTGGTGAGACACACCGAGTACGGGCGAAGGCGACCAGGCCGAAACGTTAGGCGAATAAAGGTTACTGCCATCTTGGATGCGGTTTCAACAAACCGGACTAAAAGTCATACAAACATGTTAAGATTTACTGAAAGCCGCACACGAGTACATTCAAATAGTTTCTTTTGATTTAATGAACATTTCCGCCAAGGCGCCCATCTCTTCACCATGCTCCGCCTCGAAAAAGTGCTCTCTAAACTCACGAGAGTGCTGAGTTATGAACAAATCTTTCGGAAACTTCAAGCTGCACCTCTCGCTTACCGGGCAAGGGCGCTACAAGTTTCGCCACCGGAGCACCGTTTCGCCCTGAATAGCTGAGTTAGACCAAAACGGTGCCTCGGTAGGGTTAGCATTTGCCCATTGAGAGAAAGGGGCGGGTTCAAGCCCCGCCTGGGGCGAAAGTTTTGTTCACAATCCCAGCATTCTTGTGAAACATTCGCAACGCGAACTGCGGTGTTATCAATAGATAACAAACAAAACAAGCTAAAAATTGCCTTATAAACTAATTTAATAACCGATAAGCCTTCATGTATGCGAAGGTCGACGGAAAGCCACCTTTTTGAGAAATTTCAAGCACATTAAAGTCACGACACAACCGAGCAGATCAAATAAGAAGGTTGATGCATTCGGTTGTAATTTTTTACCTTTTCCGAATACGCCACCCAGTCTACTTCCGTTCATCATAGTACCACTCGACCTGTTCGGTTATGCCTATGCGAGTGGGAAGGGGAGGAGGTTTGGGGTGGAGGTAGTCAATAGAGTCACCATTTTTATTCCGAGATGGCCTAGCCCTAATTAATCGACTCCAAAAGGATGGAGTTTTGGGTTGGCTTAGACGATATTCGATCCGCATTTGATCCCCGAGCCGTGCTGCGCACTGCCTCTGAACCTTCTCCGCTAAGATATCAACGCAACCAAGGGGAAACCAAAAATCAGGTGTAACTAAAACCAGGCTCGATTTAGCGTACAGTACGCAAATGAGGTTTAAATGCGAATTCACGCTGCAGGAAATGTTATGAAACAACAAACCCCAAAATTCGTCAATATCCGAGAGCTATGAACTATATGAAGGAACTTTATGAATCTTCAGTTGAAACTCTGAAGAAAGGATAAGATTCTGATGTGAAACGCCTTAGAACTATAAGCCCCTCACTTTGCATTGAATAATTTAGGTCATTCACGACGCCTGTTCGCGCTTTCACTGTTTCACCCATCTTGTTCTCCGTGCGACCTATAGACGCCATGATACTGTGGATCTCGCTACTAATCGTCTCACTTGACCATGTTTCATCAACTTCTGTGACATTTAGTAAGTTAATTAGAATTTCTTCTCCTGGTCCCTTAATATGTCTCACAATGAGTACTTCATGAGTATCATCGTCCATTAAAACTACATGTGGGAAGATGTTCTTTTATACGCCAAAATTTCTGTTCGTTCTGGACTGTAAAAATGTAGTAATGGACCACAAAATTAAATGCTACTAAATAATTCTAAGATTCCAGTAATCGAGCTGGAACTTACTTCACTGTACACTTTTGTCAATTTAAAGTTGAAAACTAACGACTCACACCCGTTTCGTTATTCAGAATTAGAGGGCTGGAGGCAGCGTCAACCCTTCCGTTGGGACTTTTTAAAAAATTTTTACGACTCCCCTGCTTCATGAGAGAATTTCATACGACCCTTTCTTCACTTCTTTTTCCCTCAAAAACACGTCGAGTGGGGGGTGTATATACGCACGCTGAAACGGCAAATTTTCTCCCGCGCGCTCTCACCTCATTACATGTAATTTCGTGCTACCGAAACAAGTACGACCCCCCCAACCACAAACTTCAACAAACTACGACCCCCCCCTTGGTACTTGTCCCAACGTAAGGTTGACCCAGGTTGGAGGCACAAAATAAATTCACAGCACTTGTCTTTATGCATGGATCGCTTTTCCGAATCCTTGATCTTTCATAGCTCACCATTTTCTGATAAAGACATTTTTTTCGATTTTTTCCTAAAAACAGCAAGAAAAGGGCTAGAAACACATTAGAAGAGAGAACAATACCATGAACTTCCGCTTACCAGCACTTGAAATGTAAACCTAACCTTCAGCCTACATAGATCTAAAAATCCGTGTGTCCAAAGTAGTTCGTTATCCATTGTTTTGAATTTCAGAATAAAATTTTATGCACATTTATTTTATATCTAGCTTGATGAAAAAAACTAACCTAGAATAATCCTATATACAGTTAATTTTTGTATTCCACAAATTTCTTTTCCAATTTTTGAATTTCTAGTGACCATCAAACACTGGAATGTCAAGCGTTTTTCGAGATTGATTTTCAATTTTCCTAAAGGAAAAATATAAAAACGAGCTTCCTGAATTGAAAATCGTCTTTTTGTAATAATTGACAGCCTGTCCTCACAACGGAAAACTTAGCTGATATATAATAGATTTTCTACATTCGGGATGGGTGTAAAATATAAGCTTCGAAACACTACTTATTATCGAAAAGAAGTTTAAAATACACAAAAATTACAATTAGAGTATCACTTTCCGCTTAACAGCAAGACTGTAATGACATCCAGTTGTTCTATGATAACCTTACACAATGCTGTTATATAAAATTTAAATCAATGTTTGCAGCCTCAAAATGCTTTTCGTACAAAATGGACTATGGTGTATCCAATTCGCATTCGATCGCTGAGTTATTTCGGGTCACAGTCGGTGACTGCTTAAACTATTGTATTCTGAACGCGGCCAAGATGGGCGTGAGTCTATTGAGAAGTCGAACCTTTTTCGAATTTTTTTTTGTCAAAATTTCGGGTGTCACAAAAAAGGTGAAAATTTCAAGGATGGCTGTGCCTCTGTGGTCTACCACAAACTTCACTCAACATGTCAACTTTACGGGCACGACGGTCACTTCAACGGTAAGCGAATTCAGTGTTATGGCATCTGTTTTCTTGAGCTTTATGCTCTACGAATTCTATATCGAACGTGGGTGAAGTATACCATTAGAAGCGCCACACGATTTTCCTTAACCCTTAGACTACGACTTTTTTAGAAACAAGTTATCGATGTGTTTTGTGTAGTAACAGTCGCTCCTAGCAACAACTAATCATCTGTAGAAATTTGGCTGACGCGCGCTGGGTTTGAGCTGGGATTCGATCCAGAGACCATATGCGCGGCAGTGGCCCCTCCTGTCACCACACCATCTCCGCTCGAATGAGCATTTTTGAACAGTTCAAATACCATTCAACAAATACACATTTATCACATCTCATTCGTGGAACAAGGCAATGTCCGGTTGGGAACGCACTTGAAAAGAATTGCAAGCCGCACTTTGTAGAAGTGCTGCTCCCCTGCCTACAGGCTGCGCCCACCGGCTGCTTCTCCTCTAACGAATTTTCGCTGGTTTTTATGCTCGAAAGCTGCGTCATCATAGGAGTGTTCTACTACCACTTCCGCATCAAACGAACTGACAAAACTCCGGAGGTTGGAATTTCCAACGCAGTCGTAAAACGCTGTCGTCCTCTAGCTGGCTTGCGGCCGATAAAAACCTCCATCCGTCATGGTTTCACCTGTTTCACAATAATTGAGGGAAATATTAGAACCATTAACACAATACAAAGAGTGTGAGACTCGAAAACTACCTTTTCGGGAGCTGTGCACACTGCCCAGTGACCTGTGGAACGACTTGCTTATCAACTTATCCAGCGTAACTCGCTTAGACTTCTGATACTTCGCTGACAGAGTAAGAATTACCAAGTTTCTAGTTGTGCACAATTCCGCCATAAAGCGGGCCCTCCGATCTCGAATAAGTGCCAAAACTAGGACGACCCGCTTTAGCTTCTGACGATTAATGTCATAGTAAGAATTAGAAAGCTTCTATATGTGCACAATTCAGCCATCAAATGAGCCTCCTGCCTCAATATTCCCTGGAACTGTGGTAGTGTCTTTGACTACGGTGGGACACATGTGTCCCACCAGTAGTCAAAGGGTTAAAGGCAGTGAAAACGATGGCTGGAGGGCGGAGTGATTTTGGGGACGTCATTGAGCGTGATTGGTAGACGGGTCTCGTAGAAGGGTCTTGGGAGGTGGTTCCAATTAATTTCCCAGCGCGTAGGAGGGCTTGGACCACCACTCTATCTTAGCCGTCGCGCTCTGTGCCTTTAAAAAATTCAACATGTGACGATAAAAACTTTTTAGAGGTGCTGAGCCTCGACCAGTGCAGGGAGCGCTCCTGGCGGACAATTAGTTCCCCAGTTCGAACCCAGTCTCACGCAAACTCTGATAGGGAAGAGAGTACCTTTTCAGTTGATATTCCAAAGATTTTTGTCATGAGAGGCGCCAAGTCTTAGGAGAATCTACAAAACCTACGATAAAGCTTTTTGGAGGAACAACAATAGTGGAAGAGGTCAGCATGAATGCAAGGGAAATTTATAAAAGCCCTACTTGAGCATTGCAACCCGAGTATCAGCAGAAGGCGTTGGAAAGGTATTTAAAATAGTATTGCTGAAAGAGTTCATCCTTTTTGATGAAGACATTATGCTATTAACTTCTAAGGTAATTCCAGAATTGCTAATTCTCTCAAGTTTGTGCTTACAACTACATGAATAGTAATATTAGTACATTAATATCAAGTACAGCTGTTCAGGATCAGAAGTGGTCCCAGCCAGTGGTCACGACTTTTACGAGCGCACGAGTTGGGTAGGCGTCTGTCAGGACAAAGTTGGTGAGAGTTTTTAGACGATACCATCGAAGGGGACCTCTACAAATAGAGCTGGGCCCAAACATTTTGATAACTATAACTCGATGTCGTTTCAGTACCAAAACGTGGTTACAAACAACGCCCACGCCAATATGCAGCCAAGACGGAATCCGTACAAATTCCCGTAGAAATCACCAAATACGGCAATTTCATAGATTTCCGTACCGGCCAAGCAGCTGTGACGGTAACTTTTAGCTATGTAACCACAGCGAATTTGTAATAGAACTTATTGCTCTACTCAGTTCAGAGTAGCACAACAACCACCACAGAGGAGCCTTCTACCACAACATTCACATATCCCGACGAAATTGCAGCCCAAAGCTTCGAAGAGCCCGCAGATGGAATCCACTTCATGAATCCTACACACAGCAGCAGTACGTTTTGAAAAATTTCACATAAAGTGGGGCGCGCTATTTTTGGCGCGCCCCACT